AGTAAACGAGTGGAATAGACAGTGGGTCACTAACGGTCCAGAACAATATGAACTAGTGTAATAGATAGTCGAGGTCACTGCCGTCCTTGGCAGCGTGAGCGAGTTGAATACCTCTAAGGTCACTATCGGTCCAGAACACAACGATTAAGTAGTTAATGACTGTTAACAACTGAGCTAAACTAACTGAAATTAATAACAGACATTCTTTTTTAATCCTGACATTTAATCATGTCAATATGGATACAACAGGAATCCAGAATAGCTGGAAAACATGTAATCGAGAGTAGCTCCCTGGTCAGTTCCAAGAACAGTCCGTACCCATACTTCGTCTCCCACAACTAATTCCAGAATGGCTGTATTTCCACCATGGTCATATGTACCGCCTTGACCGCCTGCGTATATCCAGGAAACCGCCGCTCCATTCTTTGCCAATTCGGCTTCGAAATTCTTGCCTGGCAAGGCTAGAAGGTGTATGTTGAAAACGTAAACCCCAGAAACTCCACAGTGGAACACTCCGGTTCCTGAGTGGTACGGATTAGCCAAATTAGTTACCACATGGTTGAAAATGATAGGTTGGTTTATTCCAAGGTTGGTCAATTGAATGTTGGTGTACGAATAGAACGCCACGTGTTTTCTGTAGACTTGATCTGAAAAATTGGATATAGTCACACATTATGATAACCTAACAATGTTTTCATGCCTATATGTAAACGTCAAGAATGTTTAAAACAATGATTAAATAGTGTATCGAGTGGTTAAATGTTTCTGGCGAATGATATATTTTGTCTTATATTGTATAACGAAATTATGCACAAATGATACAGGTCAAGTCGACACAAGTCACACACACTCACAGTGCCAGTCCATTATCTTGGTTTGGCTGCCATTAATTTTATAAATATTTTACAATTGCATTTTTAAAAATAGATACAATATTTCATCCGCACAGTAATAAAAAAATGAATAAAAGAATCTGACACCATTTCTAGATGATATCTTCTTATTCATATACAAATAAAACGTCGTACCATACTACATTTTACCAGTTAAAATTAGCCCCTTACTTCAAAACAATCGATCGGACATTGTAAAACATGTTATGGTTTCAAAGATTTGATTTTCGCAGTGTTACGTCCTTTATAACGGCCTTTCGGCCTTTCAGCAGACGAGAAAAGATGAGAAAAACCTAAAAACCTAAAATAATCTACTCTTTAAGTCGGCGTTATCACGCATACCCTTCTGCGACAATACCAAGGGGGATCTCATCGTGCGAGATGGACAGTCCTTCACGAGAGGAAACGATATAAAAGTATTGATAATTTTAAACATAACCATCGCCAGTGTCATCGACATAAACTGACGTACCTACTCTCGCAGGCCTCTGATGTACCAAGGACGACCTGCGATCTGGTGTTTCAGAACGATTTTCATGGCGAAGTTCCGAAGTTCTTTCGGCGGTCCGTTGAGGCGTCACACCATCGTCAGTATCGGTTCCTGTTTCAGACGATGAAGAGTATTGTGCCAGATTTTTTGGACCACATCGAGTATATAGAACATCAACTTGTCTCTGGAGTCTTGCTATTTCATTGGCGTGAATGTCATCCTTCTCTATGATGACCTTGAACAGATAATCAATCTTGGTTTGAAACTCATTTTTCAAATCTGCAATCTCTGTACTAAATTCTTTTTCCTTTGGAGAAGCAACAGCAGCCGCAAGATGGGAAACACTTAGTACGAACAATACAATGTGAAACGGAACAACGCAAACAGCCATGTTGTAAGCAGACTGCCAGTATGACCTTTTGCCCACTTGGAATTAGAATGTGATAAGAAACAAGTTCAAATTGCCAAAACCAAGGTCAAAAGATAACTGACAAGTCACGTCAAATTATCACGAATATTGTTTCAAAATAGATTTGAAATAAAGTTTTGTTTCTGTCGGATAAGAGTAATGATAACATTGTGGTTGGTAACAACAAATTTATTCAAGTGCTACCTTACTGTGATATACAGCATTGTTTGATGAGTTTCACACAAAGAAAGCTGTACGATATAAACAAGCAGATAAATAAAATAGAAGATAGTTGATAATCTTGCTGTAAGTACTTTATGGTGTTAATTGTTTTTGAGTAAGAAATCTTCAACACACATACTATTTAGGATTGCATAAATCCGTAATGTGTGTTGTCTTATTTACGATGGGACATCATATAATATATAAAAAAAAAACCACATTGATTGCTGGAGAAAGTAATTGCACAATTCACGTAGAACTACGATATAGACCTTCATGTTTATATAAATAATGTGCAATGATGTTAATCTTATAAATCCAAACCATCGGTATGAAATGTGCAACAGGGCAGTTGTATGTGTATGCGATCGTTCTGTCAACAGTTAGGGCAAAAGGCCACCCTAAAACCATACTAAAATGCACTAAATTAATCCAAGGTATTATAATAGCAATTTTGACGGGATTAATGCGAGTAGATTGTCAGCTATTTCTTTAAAACAATTCCGACAGTTGATCTTCATAATAGATGATATTTCATTCGCTGGTTCTTAAATGTTCAACGTAAACCACAGGAATTCCAAAAATGGAATCATGCCCGACCTTGCATTGTATGGATTAGCCAAATCGGTTATCAAGTGATCGAAAATGATTGGTTAGTTGTTTTTGGGTTGTCAATCGAAAGTCGGTGTACGAATAGAACGCCGCGTGTTTTCTGTAGACCAGAGCTGAAGTATAATGTATTGCCAGGTTTTAATACGAAGTAAATCGGTGTTTCCATACTTACATGTAATTCAAAGTGAGATATATATGCAATTACGATTTAGTAGTGTACTGATATCAGTATTTCTTGCGAATTATGATTCTTTCTTATGTCACACGAAATCCTACACTATATACACTGAGGACATCGACCATCATTTCCAAATCTTGATGTTTTTCACATTCTGTTAAATGGTTTTGAAGCCTACTACATGTACCAAATAAAGATGTGCCGTCTACTTCAAAATAATAAATCTAACTATGATAAAGCCGAATGCGTAATATCAAATTACCAAAAAGAAGTATTCTTAGGTTCAAAGATAACTTATGTAGTGTGAAATACATCGCCAGCTATCGATATAAACGTAAACACATACACTCCTAGTTCGCCGATATGCCAAGGACGACCCGCGATCACGTGACTCAGATTAATTTTTCACGACAAAGTTCTAACCCCACCCCCCGGTCTACTGAAGCGTCATACCATCATCAGTACCTGTAGCATTCTTCCTCTTTGATTTGAACGATGAAGAATCTTGTGCAAAATTGTTTGACCCGGGTGTATAAAATGTCCACTTGTCTCTAGAGTCTCGCTACTTTATTGGCGTGAATGACCTGGAAGAGGTACAATATCGCATATTAATACTCGTTTTTCAAATCTGCAGTTTGTGACCTTAATATTTTTTCCTATGGAAAAGCAACAGATTCCGCAACGTGGAAGGCATACAGTAGTAACAATAACATACGAAAAGAAACATTGTAAACCGTCGTGTTTAATCAGCGGCAGG